AAGCGTCATTGCCCACCCATGGCTGTATATTCCTATGTATCATTGAGTTACTGCCATCGTATTGCAAAAAGCCCTATATTAATTAGTAATCGTGATGCGCATGCGGACGCCCAGGATTACGGCATCGCGTGCCATCATGTCCTAAAAATTCACGTCCATATTTCACTCACTTTTAACTATTGTATCTGATGATGTATTCATCGGATATGGTAGGCATGAACATTAAACTATCACAGTAACAACAAACAACATCCAGTAATTTTATGGGTGCTCATTTAGAAGAATTTATTTACAATCGATGCTACCCCGCATAGCAACATCCAGCAGTTTGTGGTCGGTGCGGCCACTAAAAAAAAGCAATCCGCACCAAAAATCCACACCTAGAGCAAGGCTGCTCTCCTTCCTCTTCTCTATCTAGCGCGCCCCATGAACCCATCATCGCTGCTCTCCTTCCTCTTCTGTCTATTCGTGCTCCAGCCACACACACACACGCGCTCGTGCTCCATCCCACGGCGCCGTGTTTCCATCTCTCTTCCTCCTCCACAACCAAGCAAGCACCACCCTGTCCTCGGCCATGGTGCTCGGATTGAGCACGGATGTGGTAAGGTCCTCCCTCCCCACCCTGACCCCCTCCTTTGGCATGCGTTCTGTTGACCCCTGTTAAGTAAATAGGCAATTTTTTAACTGAATTAATCCAAGAAAAAATCACTAACATGGCATTAACAGAAATAAAACACATGCCGATATTCGATCATGCTAGCACATACTACACTAATTGCAGACACATTTACGGATAACGCTAGCATGGTTAAAACAGAAAACAGTAGGAGCGGGATAAACGAGTTATACCTTCCAGTAGGGCAGGCAGAGGCCGCGGCAGCGGCAGCAGCGGCGTCCTCGGCGGCCTTCTTCTCGGCCTTGAGCTTCTCGGCGGCGAGACGGTCGGCGTCGGTTGGCTGAGACATGGTGATGACAAAGACGTAGGAGAAGCATATATGCGCGGCCGTGTGGACAGACGTGGGCTAAGCCCATGTACGAGTCGGTAACAGCCCATGATCTGACGTCTCAGATCATGGTCCACTTGTCAATGACTCTCCATTCCTGACCGGCAAAAATAAGCGCATAGATGTGAGCTCAGCTCGGCTCATTCCCGCAAACCGCGGCGCGGTGTGGCGAGGCGGACAACGGAGGAGGAGCATGCGAGAGCCTCTTCTCTTGTCAAGCTCCAATAGCATGTGGAAGAGAATCCCTTATAAGGTAGTCCAACTCCTCTCCAACTAGCAAGGTGGGAGTAAACTTCCCACCACCCCTAGTGCCATATAAACCCACATGGACCCTTAATTTTTTCCCGAAATTGTTAGATGATCCCTAGGCCCATCCTAATATTCCAACAATCCCCCACTAGATCTCAAGGACCCATTTTGTCCTTTGTTCCAAACACTCTTTTGATATACTAGTATTTTAGTGGAGACATGTTAAGGTTGAGCTTCACGTAGAGCAAGTAGCTACGCTCATGCACGATTGAACAATGGACTATGCCTTGAATTGTCAGTTCGACGTAAAGAAATTTCACCATATGTCTTACTAGTACTAGACTGCTGAAGGCTGACCCCTCGGGTGGAGCATATAAGTCACACTCCTGGCCTATTCATGAGCTTACTAGAGATTACTCTAATCTCGTAGACTGTGACCAACTGTCGGGCTCATATAGGTGTATTCCTTCAAAGATCACTTTGTAGGATAGCACCGTTCTTATATAAGCTTCAGAACACATTAAAATAATAGTCAACCTACCATACTGTTTCCGAGAGTATTGCATCTCCAGCGTAGTGGGTTAGTAAAATTACTCTCCTCAGTTCACCACCGACTTGTTTTTCCAGGTCCTACTTCACGGGATCGATCCGATCACATATATTGGGTTACCACCATGGCAACTCACGTGGGTCTCATACCCATCTCCCTCGATGCATTATTATCACAACACGTGATAACCCTTTTGTAAAGAGAACTGCCAGATTCTTAGCCGCTTGGATATAATCCAATGCTATCGCTCCTGAGTTTCTTAATTTTCTGACAGCTTTTAATCTCATTCTTATATGTTTGTTGGACTTCATGTTGTCCTTTGAAATTTTCATTTTGGCAATAATTGTCTGATTGTCACGGTTCATAAGGATAGCCGGAACCGGCTTTTCAACCACTGGCAAGTCCATCAAAAGATCTCGAAGCCACCCCGCTTCAACACCAGATGTGTCTCATGCTGTTAATTTTGTTTCCATTGTCGATCTTGTTAAGATCGTTTACTTGCAACACTTCTAGGGAACAGCGTCACCTCCAAGAGTAAACATATACCTAGTTGTGGCCTTCATCTCATCAGCATCAGAGATCCAATTCGCATCACTATACCCTTCAAGTACCGACGGGTATCCGGTGTATTGAAGTCCATAGTTCATAGTACCTTTCAGATAGCGCATTACTTTTTCAATAGCATGCCAATGTACATCACCCGGATTAGAAACAAACCGGCTCAGTTTACTCACAGCAAACGCGATGTCAGGCCTCATTGCGCTTGATACATGAGTGAACCAATAATTTGAGAGTATCTCAATTGATCCTTAGCTGTGCCTTCAAACTTTCGAATTAACACACTAGGATCATATGTTGTTTGAATGGTTTGCAGTCTGAATATCCAAAACGAATCAACACCTTCTCAACATAATGGGATTGCAGAAGTGTAATCCCACCCTCATCATTTCTTAGTAGCTTGATGTTCAAGATAACATCAGCCACACCGAGGTCCTTCATCTCAAAGTTCGGAGATAGAAACGACTTGACCTCCTCAATGACTTTGAGGTTGGTTCCAAATATCAGCATGTCACCAATATACAAGCACAGTATAACTCCTTCGCCCCCACCATGGCGATAGTATACACATTTGTCAGCTTCGTTAACCACAAAGCCGACAGATGTCAGAGTTGTATTAAACTTCTCATGCCAATGCTTATATGCTTGTTTCAGGCCATATAAAGATTTCAACAAGTTACACACCTTTCCTTCCTAACCATCTATCACAAAGCCGTCTGGCTGTTGCATGTAGATTTCCTCGTCTAGTTCTTTGTTCTGGAAAGCCGTCTTAACATCCATCTGGTGGACAAGAAGACCATGCGAGGCCGCCAACGAGAGTAATACTCAAATGGTGGTCAGTCTGGCTACATGTGAATAAGTATCGAAGAAATCTTCTTCTTCTTTCTGGTCATAACCCTTGGCCACAAGTCTAGCCTTGTAATTTTCAATAGTACTATCGGACCTACGCTTCTTTTTAAACACCCACTTACATCCCAATGGTTTACAACCATAGGGATGTTCAATGATCTCCCACGTCCCGTTAGCCATGATGGAATCGATCTCGCTACGGACCGCATCCTTCCAGTAGTCAGCATCTGGAGATGCATACGCTTCTGAAAGAGTAGTGGGAGTATCATCCACGAGGTACACAAAGAAATCATTATCCTTTGTCTCTTGCCCCTACCAAGGGTTTCGTGATCATCAACCTCAAAATTTTCATCATGTGTTTGTTCATAATATTCCACAAGAATGGGATGCTCAAGAGTTTTCTCAGACTCCTGTCTAGAAGTGCTTTGCATATCTCTCATAGGAAAATATCCTCGAAGAATGTAGCATCCTTAGACTCAATAATTGTACCGACCTTTTGGTCAGGGACCTCAAATTTCACTACTAGAAATCTATAGCCAATGTTATTCTTAGAGTAGCCCAAATTAACACAGTCCATGATCATCGGTCCAAGCTTACGCTTTTGGGGATCGACACATTGACTTTCGCCAAACAGGCCCAAGTCCACAAGTACGAGAGTGTTATCCTTCTCTTCGCCCATTTCTCATAGGAAGTGATCTCATTATCCTTTGTCGAAACTTTGTTCAGGACATGACATGACGTCAATATAGCCTCCCCCATCATGCCTCTTGGACAAACCCGATGTATCTAACACGACGTTAACTAAATCAGTTAGAGTACGTTTTTTTCGCTTGGCAACCCCGTTTGACTGGGATGAATAGGGAGGCATCCTCTCATGAATAATGCCGTGTTCCGCATAAAAGGAGTCAAACTCACTAGAGAAGTTCTCTCTACCACGATCTGACTGGACTTGTTTATTTTTAGAGGAGTGTACGTACGATAATGTTGATCTAATTGGATCAATCAGTCCACTACCTCTCGCGGTTTTTCTAAAGAAACGTACATCTCACGTTCGTATACAAGTTTACAATTCAGAAATGCCTTTGGTGCTTGTGCTCCATGGAGCTAGTTTTCTTTGAAATTTTTGTAAAAAAGTTCTAATGTTTTAAAATTCTGAAAAGCAGTCAACATCTTCATACGGATATATACTGCATGTGTGCAAGTTTTCATGATAAAATATATTGACACACGAACTACACAGAAAAGACAAATTGCTCATTTTGAAAACAATGAACAATGTGCGCACTATTCTCTATGTAAATCCAACGGTTTTCACTTTTTGTGTACCTCGCGAATCAATACATTCTCTCATGAAATTTTACACATGTAGTATACATACACGTGTCAATGAGAAACGTTTTCCAGATTGTTTCGAAACATAGAAGTGTGTTTTTTGAATGTTTCATAAAAAGGGCACCATGAAGCCCAAGCACCAAAATGCTGCACTCTTTGCATATACCCACATGAAATTCATTTGAATTATTTATGTAGGATTCACTCATATCTAAACATCATGATGGGTGTATGTGAGTGACCCTTAAAAAAACAATTATAGCAAACCACTGAGTGGGGATGGATGCATAGCCTCATATGTCACTTATGTCAACCTCGGTGAGTTGGACTCTTGACTTTGAAAGGATCGTCGCTTCTCTCTTTAGGCTCCTCCGACATTGGTTTGAGGGCACCCTTAATTGCATATGTTAATTATTCGATAGTGAGATGGGCTTGCACGACATTGAACTATTGTAGCCCTATAGCTTGAGCTTGCCGCCGTATTCCTCGGGGAGTTGGGACTCATCGATGGCATCCCGAAGAGTGGCATCGAGGTCCCTATCAGCGACGAACACAAACTTCTTCTTTGTCTTTTCATCGATGAAGGGGTAGACCATCTTCCATGCGGCCATGAACATGTAGGGCACGTGGATCAGGAACACACGCCCCAATCGCTCTGGGTAATAGCTCTGCATGATGTCTAGCGCTGCCACATAGCCTCGGATGTCGCAGTTTGCATACCCCCACCCTCTCAAGTCTATCACCGCCGCAAACTTCTCCTGCCCCACCAGCAACCTATAACGGCCAAGAAAAATCCATCAATTAATAACTCGATTGATCAGACGTAGCTAGCTAGTATGACAAATCAATATATGGATATATATTCCTCGTGCAGATTTTGTCGAGGACATAGGCTACATAGCGCTTGAATCCGTCGAGGTCTTGCCGGGCGGGAAAGTGGCGTGCGCCATAGATATACGCCATGGGGCGACCAAGACGATCAAAGCCCTGCATGTCGACCCTCTTCTTTGCGATCTCGCCGCGCACCTCCTCGTCAGAGATGGAGCCATGGGGCTTGGCGACGCGCTTCCAGGCGAGGTACTGGAGGAGCATCATCGACGCCTTACCAATGTTGTAATCCCGTGCACGCAGGAACCGGCGCAGCACGAAATCGTCCTCCTCCTACACATGCATGATAGCGTAGATCAACAGGTGGATCATTGCCCACACGTATGATACATGGTGTTTTTTACAAAGACATTTCAATTCAAGCATTACATCGAGTTGGTACAACCCCATTGAGCGAATGTCAGGCCTCTGCATAACAAGATGCACAACTAACACGTCCAAATATAAAATAATTTATCTTGCAAAAAAAGTAAAAATAGAGCAGCAACCTAAGATGATGGAGGCCCCATCTTAAGATTACATCGCCATCTATGGTTGAAAAAAAAAACTCCCTTGCCATATGCTTTTGTCGGGTAGTCATGAAAAAAAATCTCTATCCTTCGACCTTGTAGAATAGACCAAGTAAAAGCCGATATGTACAATACATGGTTGGACGGCCAATTCTATAAGGATGGTTGACCATCAAGATAGGAATGCTAGATGAACCACTCGTATCCCCCCCTCCTCGCAGATGAGAAGAGTGGGTGGCCAGCCAACCAGGAACCAACCACTATCAGCTAATTAAGCTAGCACACCAACCTAATTTAACCGTGCTGATTGGGAAATGAAGTGGTCATGGGTTTAGGGAGTCGAGGACAGTGACAGACTGACAGGGGTCTGTACTTTGGACAACAGTGTTCCTCCTCTAGCCGTATCATTGTGTCATATCGGGTGTCCAGTGTCGTGTTAGATTCTGGCTTGTATTATAGATACTCCCACGACGAGGACTCAAGGAGACGATAGATGGATGCGGTAGGGTAGGGTACCTTGGCCGCGGGGTCCTGGGCCTCGGCGACGGCCCTCAGCTCCACCACCTTCTTCCACTCCGCCGCGTCGCCGCCGTCGCCATGGCTGTGTTGGCGCTCATCAGTACCGAAGTCCATTCCTGCTGCAGTGGATGCGCTCGATCTGCTTTGGTCTGTGTTGGCCGGTAGAGGGCTGGCTGGTTCTTATCTTATAGCCGGAGAAGGCTTGGGGTGAGCTGGGTTGCTGCTACGTGTCTGAGCGAATTAAAGCTGCATGTGACCTCTAAATCATAGGCTCGAGCTTGAGCGTGAGTGAGTGAGGTGTTCCGCCCCGGTCCGTCGGCAGGAACGGAAATGGACGAGACGCACTGCACACCTACATAGCCACACGTTTCTCCCATAATCAGAGCTCGTTAATGAGGACCCCAATCTCTGGCTATCAACAGTGAACGGTAATGACAGACAGAAACACGTGCACCCAAAACCGTTGGGATAGGACCTCACGCTTGAGACTAGCTTGAGAGAGAGAAACTTGGCGTCCGGTCGTCCTCACGTTTATTTAGGATTAATTAAAGGTCGGGTACACACGACACGAGCACCACACTACAACAGAGTGCTAAGTAAACTGCTGGCGATCGAGAACGTTAATGGTTGAGGTGGACGCACGTCCTCCCTTGTTTGGTGTCTGACAGAGTTAGTGAGAGAGTGAGTTATGGGCCAACGCCCAACGGCGGCGAGATCGCCATCGTTTCCCTCGTGCAGCTCGTTCGTTTCGCAATCACCGTTCATTGGATCCGCCGCTGACACACTGGCAGACAGACAGGTTTCATTCATGCGTGCCGTCGCTTAAGGCTGGTCATAGTGGGCAGTAACTTAGACTAGTAACATGCATATGTTACTAGTCTATGTTACTACCTTTATAGTGCATAGTATCATAGATTAGTATCATACGTGGTCTCATTTATTGCCATGCATGACACATAGTAGCATCACATTTATTATGTTACAGTATCTATCTATGTTACTATAATCATCTCTCTCTTCTTTAATTGTCTGCCACATAAGCATGTTCACGAGTCCCAAGCGCATGATACTACTTATGTTACCCCCACTATGGCCAGCCTAATTATTCTGCCTCCTCTTTTATTCGGAACTAGTACAATTCCCGTGCGTTGCCACGGGCCTTTTAATTTTTTTTGATTGCATACATAAGCATAATGCACTTCCAATTTCACATGTATAGAAATTTTTTACAGTAACAATCGAAAAATGTACTTGATGCAATGTATTTTCATTATTCCACTTCACTTGCATCTCCTAAAATATCAGGAATATTGTCTTCAGCTTCCTTCGCATAGTACTTGAGCAATTATAGTAAAAAAATCTTGGTTGACTTGTAACCATCCTGCATGAGTACTTCATACAGTTAGCATGAAGATTTCACATGAAAATGTAAGAACGTGCAAACATAGAGTACTCAACTTGTAAATTGGATGAACCAATTTTTTACCATTCCATGAGAGCATATTAAAATCAAAAACAAAATAACTCAACACATTAATGAAATAAATAAATATTTATTATCTCGATTATAATGATGATAAATAATTGTATGTATCTTGAATATAAAAATAGAATAGACAAATATGAACAGCCTCCCACAAAAAGGAAAAGCCACTCCTCGCCTCTCACCACACAAGCACATCACACATCCCTTATCCCCACCGCATAAGGCACAACTTCAGCAACTCACATGGCGTAGTCTTCAGCTTCTCTCCCTGCCACTGCGCCTCTTGTCCCATCACAACACGTCCCCCGACTCCTCTCCCCACCAGCCATCGCTTCCTTTCCCTATCTATGGGTCGATCTGTAGCGTAGATAAGCGACAATTGCTGGCCTAAATTCTATTGTCTGCACGCAGTGGCTGATGGACCACGCCCTACCGAGGAAAGCAACAACGGGGCCATAGGTAACAGGCATCGACAACGTCAGTGGAACCAGAAACAGTGCCATCAAACATGAGCGGCGACCTTGACCAAGCTCCATGTAGGTTAGTTCTTCCCCTTTCTTGTCATGTTTTGTCTCTGTTCTCAAATGAATTATTCATATATTCAACAAACGTAAAGAAAAATAATAATCTCACGTGTATCTATCAAATAAAAATTGTGCAGCAAACTTGCAGTGAACTTCGCTGATAGTGAATTTAATTGCTTATATGATGAATGCAGAAAGAATTTCTAAGAGATAGTAACAACTGACATGAAGTAAATCCGGTAGTCCATTGTTGATTAGAAATGTATGATAATATGGCTCAGAGATGCAATAGAACAATGGAAGGGTTGCACTTGAAGATCAAATAGGACAACTCTGAGCAGTCTATGGTCACAAGTTGTTTAGGCCCTAGATCTCAAGCATCAACTCTATCAGGAAGGGAATAAAGTGAACCAACTTCACAAGAAACAAAAATATAGGATTTCTATTTATATGATATGGGAGTCAAAGACAATTGACATGTGATGATATTTCATGCTTGTGATTTGTAGATAAATGCATCTCCTC